TCGTTAAATTCGTTTGCGAAAATTCGATTTAAATGGATTAATTTTCTAAAATTAAACTTCATCATCGTAGCGGTTCTTATAATATATATATATATTATAAGAACCGCTACGATGATGAAGTTTAATTTTAGAAAATTAATCCATTTAAATCGAATTTTCGCAAACGAATTTAACGATCGAATACGAAAATGAAATTGCGATGATCCCTGATTGGTCGAATCCTTAATCGTTTATCCAATCATCTCGACTTATCTAATCGATCGATCGATCTAACCTAAAATTCTCGTGGTATATTAATCGATTTGTTTAGTTTTCTTTTGTTTTTATATAAAAACAATTAGAATAATTGTTTGAAATTGCATTTAATACTTTTTAGAAATGTATATATGTTACCGTGAAAGAGTAAGAAATCGGAGAATGTCAAGATTCTTCACATTTCACCATATGAAGAGTCTGGACATTCACCGATTTCTTACTTTCACGCTTACAACTAACATTCGAAGAAGACAACGCTAATATTCATAGGGTTTGTCTCGAATAAGCTTCGAAATAGATAATCGATGAAGGGGGGAACAAAATAAAATAATAAAAAAAAGTAATAGAGACGGTAGGCTAGGGTGAAGAAGTTAGGTCTAAGGGTGAAGAAAGAAAAAAGAAAAGAAGAAGAAGAAGTAGAAGAAGAAGTGGGAGGAAGCCGAATGCACTTTCGATGAGACGCGAGGAGGACATTGCTCTTCTTCCACCCCCTACCCCTCTCTTTTTTTATTTTCTATTCGTGTTAACGTTATCAAACGATCATAAATTTAGAAATAAAATAATCTAACAATCACTGTGTGTGAGAGAGAGAGAGAGAGAGAGAGAGAGGGAAACAAAAATAAGTCCCAATCATTTTCCTATACAACCACACATTCAAACGAATTAGAATTATTTTCCTCGTTGACTACCACCACCTTCTCTCGTGGGTCCTCCTCTGGACCGACGCACCAGGACAGGGGGAAGAAAAGGGGGGAAGGAAGCTGGGGCTTGGGTTTCTGGCTGGGGAAGGGGGGTGGTAGTTGGGAGTAGGAGTAGGAGTAGGACTAAAGGGCAAGGTGGGTGGGAAGAAGGGGGACAGGGAGACAGAGGGGGGGGGGGGAAAGTCGAGTTTGTCGATGACGAACACGACGAGCCCCGTCGTCGCGTTGATCCGTCGTCGTCGTCGCGGCGGCGCTGGTTGGTGGTCCGTTGGAAATCAGTGCGAATATAAGGTTTTTTTTTTTTTACCGTGAAACAGACAGACGGACAGACAGACACCAGGGATCGTTCTTTTTTTTTGCTTTATCTTTTTCTCTTCTATCCATTAATTTTTATTCCTTTTCTCCCCACCCCCGCCACCCACTTTTTGTCAAAGAGTATACTAAACCCAAGGAATTCAAGAGAAAAAGAAAAAGATAAAGGGTTACCGAAAAGATAAAAAGAAAAGGGACACCACCGAGGTACCCGAGACTAAGAGAGAACCTCTCAGCGAGAGTCTCTTAGAAAAAAAGAGAGAGAAAGGGAAAAAAAGGTGGTGATAGTAGAGAGGGCCTGGGTGGGGGTTGGTGAGGCTGGGTCTGGGGGTTGGGAAAAAAAGATGGAAAAGGTGAGATAGACTAGGGGGAAAGATGAGGGTGAAGGACTGAATAATAAGGGGGATAAAAGAAGAAGAAGAAGAAGACAAAAAAAAAAGAGAAACACGAAGGAGAAGAGAGAGAGAATAAGAGACTGATGATGATGGTCATGGTAAAGGAAGGAGACGGGAATAAGAAAGGTGTCGGTGTGTTGACATCTCTAGCCTCGGAGAGGGTGTCTCGCGTGCGCTCGACGTAACTCCACGGCTAGCTTTGGGGCTATTGCTGAAGAATAAGGCAGAGAAAGAGGAGGGTGGAAAGGGTGGGAGGGAGGGAGGAGGAAGGGAATTAGAGGAGGAAGCCTAGTTTCAAGCATCGATCTCGAAGCGTCGGCGCAGCTACCACTACTGGTGCTGGTGCTGGTGCTGCTGCTGTTACTGCTGGTTCTGCTGGTGCTGTTGCTGTTGCTTCTGTTGCTACTGCTGCTGCAGTTATTGCTGGTGTTGCTGTTGCTGCTGCAGTTATTGCAGTTACTGCTGTTGCTGCTGCTGCTGCTACTGCTGCTGGCGCCGCCGCTGTTGTTAACGCTGATAAAGGTGGTGGGTTGTAGTAGTAGTAGTAGTAGTGGTGGTGGTGGTGGTGCTGGTGGTGGTGGTAGTGGTGGTGGAGGTGGTGGTGGTGGTAGTAGTGGGTACACTGCTGCTATGAGAATGGCACGAGTGCTAGAGGAAGACGCGGAATCGTCGCATCATCATCCGTTCGTCGGAGGAGGGCCGCGACAGAAGAAGGACGACGACGACGACAACAACAGTAGTGTTGTACAGCTTATTAAAGAAAAAGAAGAAGTAGAAGTGGTGCAGTCTGACGGGCTGCTGCTGCTGCTGCTAATGCTGTTGCTGGAGGTGTTGGTGGTGGTGGTGATGATGATGATGGTGGTGGTGGTGGTGTTGGTGAACGTAACGATTCGATAAACCGACGATTTTTCAATAAATCGACACTTTTTTTTTATATATATATAGCTCTTTATATATATATATATATTAATTACCTAAAATGACAAGGTAAAAACAAGTATAAAAGTATAAAGAACGCTATATCATATCATACGACGTTCAGTTTTTCGATAAGAGGATGCTGAACAGAGAGAAGATTAATATTTCGTCGTTATCATTGATATCGACGATTATTATTAATAATAATAATAATAATAATAATAAAAAGAAAAGGATCATTATGGGGATCACTATGAGGACAAGTAAAAGGAGGAGGATAACAACGTGGAAGTTGTTGCACCAGGTGAAATCGGCCGAGATTATTAATTTGGGTCTTCCCGATGGAATGCGAGCAGCCGATCGAACGGCACCACGACCACGACCACGACTCGTCGTTGACGACGAAGCCGACCACCTTTCGTGTTTTCCCGCGTAATTTGCCACGACCAAAGACCACGGACCCACGGACGGACGGACGTAACGGTGGTGGCGACGGCGGCGGGTAACAATAATTACACGCCAACGAACCTAACAACAACGGCCCCAAAAAATATATATATATATATATATATATTATATATTTTTTGACCCAAACAATTCACAAACGAGGAACGATCCCTTTTCAACCCCCACCACCCCAACTGTCCCCATACATTGGTTATTGGCTTTTCATATATTTTTCTTTCCCTTTTTCTATTCTTCCTTCAAGTCTCTTGTAATTTCTATCTTGTTTTAAAAGACTTTATTCGAACGATCTTCGAACTTAGCTTCTCAACTCCCCCTCACCCTTTCCTTCTTCGATCGACCGAATATCTTTTGTCTCTCTCTTATATTTGTTTGTTTTTCTTTCGTTCAAAAAAAAATCATACGCGTAATATCCATCCGATGGCAGATTAAAACGAATCTCATTATATTACCACCATCACTTAATAAACGTCGTTCCGATTACTAAAAATTGACGACAAAATATCGTTATCCTGGTATAACGAAAATCTAAAATATGGATTGCTGCAACTACGTCGAAGCGTACACCCCTGGCAATCATTTTTATCAACAACAACAACAACCACAACCACATCATCATCATCAACAACAACAACAACAGCAACAACAACAATTGCAACAGCAACAGCAACAGTTGCAACATCAGCAGCAACAACAGCAAGCCTACTTTTGTTACAACAATGCTAGTGTTGCTCCATACGCGAATTATGGTACCGCACCGATCTCGAACATGCTCGAGACTAATGCACGTTACAATCCTGCTGTTGTGCCAGCTGCTTATCATCCGACAGGTAGAATAATAATTAATCAATCTACCCCCAACAACAACAATCCTCGATTGAAAATTTCACACGAATAAATAAATCCGCTCGTTTTAGTAAACAAATCCCCATCTACCCTCTTTTATCTAATATTTTTTTTTTTACTTTCCAGTCACACGTACGTTTCCCTTTAAAAACTTAAACACCCCTTTTCTTTTTTAACCTTCTGTTTAAACCGTAATGAAAGAACGTCGATAATAATCATAACGACACACGAAGTGTTGGGCTTCTTCTTCTTCTTCTTTTTCTTTTTCTTTTTCTTTTTCTTTTTCTTTTTCTTCTTCTTGTCTCCTCTCGTAAAAAGGCACATCGACCGGAGGGAGGGAGGGAGGGTGGCAGGAGGGGGGGTTATTCGTCGTCGTCGTCGTCGTCGTCGTCGTCGTCGGCGTCGAATTATTATCCGTACGATAAGTTCGGTTGATAAACACGATCGATCGGGGGTGAGGAGGAAGGGGAGAGGGGGTGGAAGGATGGGTCGTTACGGTTAATTGGATTGACCTCGATCGTGGGGGGGTAGTAGTAGTAGTAGTAGTAGTAGTAACACCATCTCAAACAACGAGAATGTTACGATTTATATTTCATTCCAAAGATAAAATGACATCTTTTTGTAATGATAAGAATTCGGTAAAACTGGGAGATCCTGTGTTATACATATATATATATATATGATATAATTAATTTCATAATTAAAAGGGATAGTTAAACGAAATGGAATGGGACCGTAAACATGTTAATGGGCTTGTCCCATAAAATAAAATAAAATAAAATGATCTATCACTATTTTAACAAGGGCATCTTATCTTTGTTCACAGATTATGTCTACAATCCAAAAGAGGCTAGAATACGTAAAGCTATGCGCGAGCAAAGCAGAGAATCCTCGAGACGTTCGATCGTTCAGAATACGATCGGGAATTCACAGAAGAATCATCTCGGATCTTCTTCAACGTCAACGTCAACTACTACAACGATTACAACGACGAAAACCACGACATCACCACAACAACCACCACCACCACCACCACCACCACTACCACCAACATCATCATCAACAACAACGACTACTACTACGTCATCTTCTTTGACTGACGAATTCTTAAATCAACAATCGCAACAACGTGATCATCATCATCATCATCATCATCATCACCATCTTGATTGTGGTTCTTCAGGATTAAACAATTACCAAACAGTTCACTTCATTGATCATCCACCATCACGTCAACAGCATCAACACGCTGATCATCCTGATCGGCCAATGATGCCCCAAGAATCTTGGTGTCCAGCTATAGTAAATGATCCACGTTCTAAGTGTGGATACAATGAGAGGGGAACTGAATGGTATACTGGTGGTGTTAACGATGCTAACGTTGACCAAAGATCACGACTCGCCATGCAACAACATCAACTTATTTTTCAACAACAACAACAACAGCAGCAGCAGCAGCAACAACAACAGCAACGACAACAACAACAGTTTCTTTTGGGCAAACAACCGATAGATATCATCAGTTATCGTGCTGCAGCAGCTGCTGCTACTGTTGCAGCTGCAGCTAATCTCGAAAGAGAAATGATTAGACGTCAACAAATGCTTGCGAGTTATCAATTAACTGAATTCCCTGATAGACAAAAGTGGAGTCCTTATCAGGTGATGATATATTCTTTATAAATGAAATTTTCTTCAATTTTGAATGTGTGATATTTACATTATCGTAAATTATTATTTCAATTATTTTTTCACATATATTATATTATACACTTGTGTTCTTAATTTTTATCCTTGCGTTTTATTTGATTTGATTTTCATAGAATGCCTCGCATACGCATCATCATCATCATCATCAACAACAGCAACAACAACAACAGCAACAACAACAACACCCAAGAACGATCCAATTGCCAACCCCACCGCAAATCGCAATACCTTATAATGGCAGACAGGAAACAACTGCTCAAGGAACGTGGGGTCATTTCAGCAGCCACAATTTGCCTACTTGTAAATTGATAATTATAAACTTTTTCTTCTTTTTTTTTATCGTTAATAATTAATTATTTTTATATATATGATTGATATATTAGAAATAATATGATTATAATAATATTTTCTTATATATACCCAGATGTTCCTGGTGTTATTCGTAACGTTACGATGCACGGAATACGTCAGGCCATATTTTTGCGAGACAATACGTCCAACAGGCAAGATTTTGCTGATAATCAATCGCAAATACCACCTTACGTTCCACGAAAACGCGAACTCGGTGATAATTCTAATCAATCTTATCCGACAACGGAAAATCAGGTACTTTATATTTATATATGATTAATATTTAGTTTATTTTTAACTCTTTGAGTGCTACACTATCACCTGAAGTGTTTAGTAAAGGACACGGAATACTTTATTACTAGTATGATTGTTTAATTGATTGATTTTAATAATTATTTTACATTTAATAATTAAACTTTTTGTTTCTAAAAGAGAATATAATTTTCATGTGACAAAAATCAAAACAATAATCAATATACCAACCAACGTTATATTATTTTGCAGTAATTTAAAAAAAAAACACGTATATGTATAATATAGACGCATATATGCGTCCACAGCAGTCAAAGGGTTAATTGTATTCAAATATAATGTTGTTTGTGTAATCGTAGTCAACGAATTTCAAGAAAATATAAATTAGGGATGTATATATTTGAAAATGTTTACAGATACCCGTAGAAACATCTACATCGGGTGGTATGATTCAGCCTAGAAAGTGTGAGATCGTTAAGGAAACGAAATGGCAAGCTAATCCCGTGTCAAGTCCAAGGATTTTCAACGGATTATTAATTCCAGCGACGGTAAGGTAGAATTTTTTAGAATAAAAGTCAGGAATACAATTGTTTAAGTCAGTTTTAACTTAAACACAAGTTCTCAATACTTTTTTTCAACCCTAATGGTGTTAAGCTCAAAACTTTTCAACCCTGCTCATGTTAAGCTCAAAACTTTTCAACCCTGCTCATGTTAGGCTCAAAACTTTTCAACTCTACTCCTGTTAAGTTCAAAACTTATCAATCATTTTGATTACTATTGAATAATAAACGATACACAACTAATATACAAATATATATAACTTAATTGAATTACGTTTGAAGATGAATTAAAAAAAAATTAATTAGTAATATAAATTAAATAATAATAATATATTATTTGTTAATGTCAGAGTAGATGACATCAAAGAGACCAAGGGATCAAGAAAAGGATTATTACGATCGTAATTCATCCGAGAGTTTCGAATCAAAGAAACCAAACTTAACTCAACCGTTGCCAGGATTTCATCAAGCATTTGGTTCAACGGAGATAGGAAAGTTCTCGAGATCGGAATATTTTGCTAACATGGTTGGCGAGAAGAGTAATAACAATAACGACGAGGTGGTAATAGAAGAGGATAATAAAAAAGATGACGTAAGTCGGATGATAATGAACGTGTCAGAAATGAATGGCACAGTTTTACCTATGATAATGATGACGACGACGACGAATATAACAACAACGACAATTACAACAACAACAACAACAACAACAACGACGACAACGACAAATTCTAATTCAACGAACTTTGATGACAGAGAAGAAAAAGTTAAAATTGAAATAGTGGAAAACATTAAACCACCAGCACCAACTCATACGTCGAGTTTTGCCGTAGTTGAATCAAATGTTAATAATTTTCCATCGTCGTCATCATCGTCATCGTCATCGTCATCGTCATCATCATTGTCGTCATTGTCATTAATGTCAACCGATGCTTATTGCGGACAACGAACCATTGTTTCGTCTTGGCACAGTCCGCACGTCGGTCCTGTAGGTAGTGAAATTTAATAAGTGTATTATTCAAACAAACAAACAAACAAACAAAACAAAATAGGTTGCGAAACGTAATCGCGACAATATTTATTCGTTAAGTTTTTAGTGGTCGTCTTCCCGTCGATAAAATCGATCGATCATTAAAGAATGATGATGATTGAAAAAGATGATAAACACAAAAAGAAAATATGTCTCGGATTTTGTCCGAGAAAAATGATAACTGTGTGCCAATGTGTGCTAATAAAAAAAAAAAAAAAATAATATTATAATGATTACGAGATTAATGGTGATAGTTATTCGTCGTCGTTAAGATGATTATAATAATTATTATGACGGCACAAATAAAAATAGCCTTTTTAAATCAAATCAATAAAATTATAATACAAGATGTGCGGATAATTATGATAAGTTTGGGGGTGGAACAAGGGGTGGGTGGATGTGTATGGGTGAACTAAAATCAACATAAACTCAATACAAAAATTTCTTTCATGATTTATATATTAACAATATTAATAATAAGTAATAGAAAATAAATCAATATAAGATATAAGAGATATATATATATATATTGTATTTAATTACTTTTTATGTTGAATTTAATACATCCGTCATAATTATCGGCACAATTTATTTAATACAGTTGCATGTACTTATTACGTACATATTATTATTACATTTATACAAGGTGAATAATATAACGCGTATCACTTATAATATATTTTTCGTATTTATTAATGTGTCAAGTAAATTTACAAAATTATTCTAATTTATTTTATATATTTTTTTGTAAACAATATTTTATATTAAATATTTCGACTAGTTTTTGTGTTCAATATGTGTAAAAATGTGATCTCGTTATATTATTCAATCTGTATGTTCGATTATTGATGTTACAGAGAAAAGAAATTACTGGAAAATATATATATATATATATATATATGTATATATATATATTTATAATTCTTTCGTTAGGAAAGAGATATAGAATTATTCTCTTTGGTGATCGATCGATGAAAGACTTCATCGTCTTACAAAAGTTCTGACGGTTTTTCTTTTACTCTCTCTTTCCTTTTTCTTTTCATTTCTTTTCTTCTTTTTTTCTCATTCTCATAATTATTATTTAAGTAACGATTAATTTAACGAGAAAAACTTTAAATTAATATCAATTATTATATTCGAGCTAGAATCAAACTATATATACGAGGATAAATTAATAATTATTGTTATAATAATCATGGTTGTTATACTGTTAAATACTTATGCATTAGTATTTATGATAATTTTCTTTATATTATGGTTGTAATGATTGAAAACATCTTAGATTGGTTTAATATTGTTTATCCTAACATCAATAATATAATTGCTAAAGTTTTAAATGTTTAATAATTCGCAATGCAATGTTATTTTTTTGTTTTTAATGTTAGTTTACAAGATTTAAACATGCTTAGGATTTAATTTGATAGTGACTGAAAGTTTTAGATTTGTAATTTTTAATTCTTTTTATTTTATGATGTAAACACGTAAAACAAAGCAATCATTATTAATGTTAACTTCATAAACAATTTGTAATCAATTTAACGTGTTCAAATTTGTACAACTATAATAGAAAAGAAAAACCAAAAAATCACATTGATATTATTGCATAAAAATTTAACAAGATATAATCAATTTCATAAAAATATCATTTAATTAAGAATAATTATTAACTTGTATACTCATAATATATATACATGTTACATCAAAATTGTTTTATCTCAAAGATTTTTATAAAAAAAAAAAAGAAAAAAAAATAAAGTAAAATTAATTAAAATAAAATAGAAAAGAAGAAAGAAAGAAAGAAAGAAAGAGAGAAGTAAAAAAAATAAAACACCCGAAGGAACGTATGTTAAACTCCAATAGGATTATAAAATTAAGCGAGAGCACGTAATCAATGCGCGCGAATCAAACCAAAAAGAAAATCAAAAGGATAAATAATACAAAAAAAAATATAGGGGGGCGGGGGGGTCGATTAAGATGATCAATTTTACGCGCTGACGTTGCGAACATGAGAGAAGGAAAAGAAAATGACAGATATAATAAGCAAACGTCTCTTTCTAATTATAATGAATATTTTTAGCTAAACAAAAAAAAAAAAGAAAAGAAAAGAAAAGAAAAGAAAAGTAATAACGTACGTTTAAAATCGCGACCAATATTCGCTTACGGAAAATCCTTAAGTAAAAAATAAAAAGAAAAAATGAAATTAAGAAGAAGAAAAGAAATAATTTAATAATCTTTCATGATTTCTTGCAATATGTATT